ATTCTCTGGCTTCTGCACCAGCAGTGTGAAGTAAGAGCTGTGCAAGTCCCTCCAGTGATAACGCACACAGAAGCAGGCTATTGTCTTATTTTAATCCCTATGAAGGAGTGTGAAGGAAAATATCAGGGAGGAGTGAGGATGTTTGGCGAAATGATATCTAAAGCCTGGTGGGTTGGTTTCCACAGCGCAGGCCACACCTAATTGTTGCTATTCTACATTCATAGGCGAATGGCTGTCCTAGCTAGACAGCATCGATATCATCTGCTACAGATTAGCATGTGGGCAAACAGAAAAAAAAGGTGTCTCTTTTTTCCTGGTGAGCGTAATAGTCCAGCTAAGCTGTGTATTTTTTGCCCTTCTTCTCTGCACCTGCACGCTCTCATTTCGTCCTGAGCTGCAGAGCTTGTCCCAACCGTTTTAAAAAGAGTTTTAAAGTGGTCCTTTATCAAAGCCTGAACCGTAAAATGCTGACCTGGACTGAGCGGATTTAAGGCACAGTAATTTGTTTTCTATTGGAACATCAGCCGCAGTCCTATTTTTTCACTCTTTGACTTAATCTGACAGCCTTCAGTTGAATTGTGTTGGGCTGTTTTGTTTTGCAGTAAAAAGCAGATCGCAGCTTTACAATGAAATACATTAAGTTTGAGAATTAATGATCAGATTGAGTTTAAATGTGTGGAAAATGTGAAATTCAAGAGACGAAAAACATTCTGCGCACGTGAACATGTTTCCAATGATAACAACAAGCTCAGCTATGTAGAGGGGGCAATGTTAGAGATGTTATGGAGCACAAAATAAACCATACATTGAAAGAAAACTTTTATTAATGCTGGTTGAGATGTGTATGATTTTGTCAGATTTTTTTTATGTAACTTTGCCACAATGAACCTGAGAGAATTACAGAAGGACTCAATCAGTGTGTTCACATCTGTTTTTTCATATCCGTCACTTACACTTGCTTTACCTTGGATGCATGTTGGAAAGACAGCTTTTGGCATTTTTTCTAACCTACATACCTGCACACACAGCACACACACAAAAAAAACATGTAAAAACACAAATGGAAATGGAAGACATAAGGAGGTGGAAATGAGGTGTCAGCCACCTCTTTGAGCATTTTCTTCTCTGGCCAAACCACACCGTGCTGGCACTGGTCAATGAACAATAAGCAGGCCCTGCAGGACTCTTGAGCCTCCCTGGTTCGGCCACTCAATGAAACATTAGAAGCTGCAGCAAAAATTAATGCAGCTGAAATTAAATGAGAATACTGCAAAGATTCCCCAGAAGGAAAAAGAATGGAGCGTCTTAAGCTTAAAATCGATCAGTGTAGGAGTAGGGTGAGGTTCTTTATTAACTTTGCAGCTGAGTCTCCCCATAGACCTCACTGTGGACAAACACAACTGAGGTGTCAGCAGGTATGCAATGTGCTTAGATGGACTTCTGAGCTTTCTAAATGTGTTAACTTTGAGCTTGCCATATAGCTAATATCAGCACCTATGGGCAGCCAGGGAGAGTTATTGCCATTAATGATCCTTTACAGGTTATGTCAGCCGCTCCTAGAAAACTCTTGAGCAAACTTTGGATGCCTGTTTGCTTAATTGTTTTCCGCTTTGTTGATTCTTTTCATATCTAATTTAGCACCAGAGATGTCAATCGGGGAAGGCTCGCTTCCATGCAAAAAGACAACAGGAAAGGAAGCACATTTGACTTCATAAAGATAAAACTACTGCAGTTTCACAAAGTGCCAAGTCAGCTCTAATTTCTTTATTCTATTCCCTCCAAGCAGCCAGACTTTTCCCATTCTATTTAGTCAGTAATAGTTCGCAGGGCTCATGAAGGTCTTTCAGTATTTGTCTTTGGATCACCTTAAAACTAAGTTTCAGAAGAAATTCAGTTTTTTCTTGTTTGTGAAACTATTCAATAGCAAATCTCCCAGGAAAAGAAAAGCCCCTTAACTCAAGGGTTGAGGCCATATTGTGTCTTCACACAGTATAACTCTGAAGAGCCCCTTTTAAATGGGCTCTTCCAACAATTTGTTACCAGCAGACTGTTTCAAAGACACATATTATGTTTTTATTTTTTTGGGTTCACAGCAAAAGAAACCAAAGACAACTGTGTCATAGATCAGAAAGAGCATTGTTACTCCAACATGGAGCTAAAACCACCTCACTGTGTGCCGTGAGGTGGAGGTGGGAAACAAGCAGCAAAGCCTGAGATGTGCAAAATCACACAACAAGTGGACTGAAAATCAGTGGAAACAGGTCTAATTGGAGGGATGATTGTTCCTCTGAGTAATGTGGGCTCATCTTAATCGAGATCCAAAGATGATTTTTGAGAGTACTGGTGAAACTTTACTATTCAAATGGCAGGGAAGCTTGTTTAAAGGGGTTCGGGCTGTGTTGGAGACTAAAGATTATACCAATTATTGATTTTGAAGCCTGTTAGAAGTGCAATGGCAATGCGGCTTTTCCCTTACGTACAGTGCTGATAATATGTTTGCGCACATGTCAATAAGTCACTGAAGGTAAAAGGAGCAAGACGAATGGGATATGGGAAGATTTTTTGCACAGCGCGGTGTGGATCGAATTTCAGAAACAATAACTTCTCTTGTTAGAGAAGCAAACAGTAGGAAGATCCTTTCGGTTGCTAGCCTCTGGATGTGAGCCACGCTGCTACCCTGTCTCTGGACGCGGACGACATCTTTCCTCAGCAGAGGAAATGATGCATCCTGTTCTATGTGTTAGTTTTGCTCTGAGAAACAAAGAGGTACAGACAAAAAACATCAAAGATACAGTCGAAAGCGACAGATAACATCATTTAAAGCGCTATTGTCGGGAGGTCCGGCACCACAGCACCAATTTTAAAACTAATTAAAATTTGAAGCTGCGAATCACTAAGAATAGCACGTGCTGAAGAGGTCTATCAATTAAATGTGCTCACGGGGGGATGGCTGTAGCACTGCTCAGTGGGAATGATGTGCTTTTTACCGGATGTGCAACACAACAATGCTTGTGAAGTACACACACACACACATATACACAGTGTTACAAGGCCAGATGCAAGGACATGATAAGAACAGCAATTTCAAATGTTATCGTCTGGAAAAAAAAACAATATGCAATATCCTTCTGTCATAAAAGAAACAGAACAAAAGTAGAGCTGTTGTACTACATGAAATATATAATTTTCGCTATTATCATTTTTTTTTTTAGAGGATTTATATATTTTGGGATAAAGGTCATGCCCACTGCCACTGCTTTTTTAAACTGGATGATTTCTGTAATATGCGTAAATATGCTGTAAGAAAATGGACTGTTTCAAGTTCAATTGGACTTCAGCTACTAACATGCTATGCTGGCCGTGCTCAGGTTGCCTGTGCTATCTGTTGGCTTCATTTCCATGTGGGCTCCCTCAGCTCTTTAGTGCAGACAAGGTGAAATGGTGCACGCAGAAAGGAACAAGGCTCTGACTGTCAGCCGCTGAGAAGCGCTCAGCCCTGATCTCCTGCACCACTAAGGCCTTCCCCAGGCTTTCCAAACTAGTTTCAATTCCACACCCCTCTGCTCACGTGTCATTCCAAATAAACAGGTACAAGAAAGTAGCCCCCCACACCAGGAGGGAGTAAGACAAAGACAAGAAGGCAGAAAGTGCCGAGAGAAAGGAGCCAGTGAATTGTGTGCTGGTGTGCTTGCGAGAGAGATATATCTGAAAAGAAACTGAACTCTGGATTACAAGATGGTGCCTTGTCCATTCAAATAAAAGCAGCTGAGTCACTCGGAGGGGCAGCCCGCTCTGCACATTTGGATGCCTGATGCATGAGCAGTGGTGTGTTTCTCAGTGAGATCAGAGGATGTCTTTTTTTTTTTTTTGCTTTGGAGATGCTGCTCATGTGTCTGCGATTGTTGGGAGCGTCACTGAGTGTGTGCTGTCCCTGTCATGTTGGTGTGTAATGAACCACTGGCACTGTGTGAGCCAGCCGAATCTATTTATTTATTTTAAATTTGTCAATCACTTGGATTGGCTGTGAAGCGTTGTCTGTGACCGCTGCCTGTAATGTGACATTAACCATGTCATCCTTCAATGCATGAGGCTTTAGACACTCTTAACTGGAGTTCTTTATAGATCAGTGTTGTAACTGCAGTAAATGGCAATCAAAGGAAAAAGAAGGATAATATCTCCCAAATAAAATCCACAATCCTGGGTCAATTTCTTTACTTCAAGAGGGTTGGCACAAAAAACAAAACAGGGATCTTTAATCTGAAGTGGGAGCATTTGTAAAAATTAAGGAGACTTCACTGAGAGCTTTACTAAGTACAGGATTTTCAATGCATCCCAGAATCTCTTCTATGGGTTACAGTAAAATGACCTGAAGTGTCCCTTGAATGCAGATTCTTGTTGAATATGAACTGTGTCTACACAACAGTTAAAAGGTCAGCTGGATGTTGGCTCAGGTGAGACAGATGAAATATGTGAAATCTATTGTAAATCAATAAAACAATATCAACAAATCTCTGCTTTGTCTGGTAGATGCCAACAAAGATTTAACGTTTGCCCGATATAGACTGGAGGAGTTGCACTTGCAGACAGCAGCAGGATAGTGAAAGCATTTTAGCTTAATCACCTTTGGGCGGAGGGGGGGTTGACGGGTTCTCTTTTAATGCATTTCCACAAAATAACTGGTTTTCAATCAAAACAGGAAAATCAAACTTGGATAATTGTAGTTGTTTTTTTTTAAATAGTTACATCTAGGCTCCATCTGTCAGCTTTTAGTTAGCTTTTTCTAAATTGATTTGGGCTAAAAACAAAAAACAAACAGAAGTGTAAAATATTTCCCTACACTGCTTGGAAGCTAATTTTGTTGCATAGTAAGGGAATGGAAACCTGTCTGTAATGCAACCCCTGACAGAAATAATGTAGAACTGGCTGGGCCTATATTGGTCACACATACATCAAACATATCATAGCCAGTATATTATATCCATAAACAGCAGCCTACTTACAGTAGACGTCCACCCTGATGGATTTAATGGCGGGGGAACCAAGGCCGTTCTCAGCTTTGCAATAGTAGCGACCCCCCTGGGTCCTGAGGATCTTTGCAATGTGCAACGTCTCGTTGAACACACTGGAGTCCTGGAAACGGTCTGAAACACTGCCAGCTGTCTTTGTCCATCGGATCTAAGGAGGGAAAAAAAGCAACAGTGACTACATTTGCTAGTTTTTATTCCAAACAGTCACTCTCCATTTCAAAGGGTGTGCAGTGGACTGAGGAGACAAACACAGCTTTGGGCAAGAAATCTTGGAAAAAAATAAAAAAATAAAAAAAGAGAATCATGTTCTTAGATAAAAGTCTTATCCAGAAAGAATTACAAATGAATAGGCAGCATTAATTTTCATCCCTTTTTGTCCATCAATTTTTTTTCATAAAACCCTTAAAAGAAAACTTGACAATAGTGTGATTGTTGCCTTTGAACCACTGGAAATTAAACACAACACATATGAGAATGAACCAATTAGTGAACTGATGGATCATTTCTGTGTTCCATTCAACATCAATCACTTTGATGAGTCAGAGTACTTCCTGGAGCAAAGTGGTCACAGGAGGCTGCCGGGCAAACACTGAGCAGCCAGAATGAGCTCTGCCTGTTCAGTGAACTGTCATGCAAGCACAAACATGGATTAAACAGGTAAAATGCTGCTGTAGTGAGCAGGAGCCCTTTAAAGGTAAGCATCTTTTGAGTCAAACCAACCAGCTCCAGCCTTCACACTGAAATAAAATAATTGTCAGCGGTCTGAAGCTGCTTGGGCTTTTGCCCCACACGACTTCACAGTGGTGCTTCTCATCAAACCCGGCTGTAAATATACAATTTGCGATTCCCAAATCAACAAAAGTCGCCTTTAAGATTGGACGCGGTTCACACAAAACGCTCATTGATGAAACCGTTCGACGCGAAATCAGCCGCCCTTGTTTCCAGCCACTTCAAGCATTTGCGCTCATCTTACTGTATTGTGTATCACAGACTGATCTAACTGAAGGACCAAAACCCTGTTATAAGACTAAAGTGCCATGGTAGTAAGTGTTGATCTGAAAGCCAAAAATCCTCCTCCGACGTCCCTGCTTTGCCGTCTGCTCGGCACGGGGCCGGCCTCAGCGCCGCCTCCCCTGCATGAGTACCTTTCACTAACTGATGAGACCCAGTTAGCCCATGGCATCCAGGCGTAATGAAAGGTGAAATAGTGTTGCTCTCTAACATAAGGTTGTAATTGACTCTCCATCATCTCCCTCTCCTGTCCTCATTAAAGCATACAGCATGAGCAGGTACTGTGACAACTCTGGCCCGGGGGCCACGCAGCCAGAAGCAGCCAGCGTAAAGCTCCGCTCAGTCCCTCATCCCGAGTAAGCCACAGATTGACTTGCTCTGCCTGCAGAGCCTCCCGTTTCTCCATCTAGGCAGGGGAAGGTATGAATTAGCATCAAATATCTCCGCACTGGATGGCGATAGCATCATCTTGGATGCCGATAACATCCCATTTTACAGAGATAGCATCAGATGGAACAGGAATATCATGGCATGCAGGGATGGGGATTGGGCGCTATCGCACAGATTGCTGCTGTGGGGCTTTAACTGTGGTGGCTCCAGCCTCAGGTTATGACAGTTTAAAGTTAGCTCCTTTTCCAATGAGATGGGAGAGAGGAAATGAAAGGGTGGGTGGCCAAAAATCTGATAACGGCCCCCTCGTTTCTCTCTCTTTCTTTTTTTTTAGCTTTGGGGTAAAAGATGACGAGGAGAGGGATGCGCACGCAGCGATAGCAGGAGTTTATCAGAGGGGTTTCAGATTCTCTGTCTTGCTTGAGGTGTTCCTGTTCAGAGTGGAAGAAATATATTGGCTATCCTGGAATTCAAACGCGGTGTGTGTGCACGGCTTCTCTCTTTCATCAAGCCCTTTCTCTTGACGAGGAAGAGAGCAAAAACATTTTTAAAAAACCCTGCTTGTACCCAGACAGTTCCTCTGCTCACTCTCGTTATATAGTTGTTAAGAGGGTATATTACCATTAAAAAATAAATGCCTTTCAGAGTACTGACTTCATGGACGAGGCTTCTCTGTGCCTGTGAGAAATGAATCACCGAGAGAAACCCTCCACGAAAGAGCCTCAACTGGTGATCGATGCTAAAGCCCGACTGTTGGAAAAATCTAAGGCCCCATTAGAGCAGTTAGGACATGATGGATTCAGCTAAACAAGCCTTAAAGTTAAATAATTTATGAGCATATATTAGATGAATTGAATTCCGTGTCATTCTCCCTAAGAATGCTCGATTCTCTCATGCAAACACAAAGCCGGCTCTTTTTTCTATCCCTTTTTATGTTTTGGCAAACTCAGCAGAATCCACTATTCCACCACTCGTACCCAAAGTCATTTCCTTTGTCTTTCATTTTAAGAGTTTAGGGAAAATGCAGCAACAATGGGTGCATTGTTGGAGTGACAGTAAAATATCGGTGTTAAAACGACTCTTTGTAAGCTCAAAAGGAGAGGGTCCCTGTTGGATCCAGGGGGCAGAATACCAGAAGACGGGGCAGTTATCAGCTATTCCTGCACCCTGAGGCAATTTCCTTGCTTCCACTCCTCTGTCTTTTTTGCATCTAATCACCTCTGCCCACAGGGAGAGTCCTGAAGTATGCCTAGAGAGAACAGTTTGACCCTCTTCGCTCTCGTCATTGGAATGCAAACACTCCTCATCTGAGAGGTGCTTGCAGATTTGAACTATGTGATAATTGCTTCGCTTCGACCACTGGCAGTCTGTTTTTTTGGTATTTTTTTCAGGCCAGTTTCTAGCACAGTTTGCATACTGAAGGCAAACCGAAAGCGTCTGCTCATGGACAGCGTGGAATAAGTCCTACCTCCAATAACTACTACACAATATTTTGTTTTTAAGTAATTGTCCTATGAATCACTTGTATATGGAAAAAGGCACCAATCTGATGCAGTTAGACAGATTTGTAATGAAGGTGACATGATTTAAAACGTAGCAAAAAGGGAATCAATTTCAAATAGTATCTTTTGACACTTTGTCATGAACAGTCTGTTGCAGAGACACATAATTTGTTTCCATTTCTTTAGTTGCCCCAACAAAAAGTGCAAAACATGAAGGGGTGTGACAAACAAGAACTGTATTTTGGCACAAAATTATCCCCAAAGAGCTAGTCATGCCAGGAAAAACTGGCATGACTTGGCATGGTGTGCAGTGTGTATTTAAAAGGAGTTTGAGGTTAGTGGCACAAAAGCAAAGTAGAGAGCACTTAGGACTGAAAGAAGCCGGAACAGGTTCATAAATTAAAAAGATAGTGAGAAATTATAAAAAGTCACAGATATTTATGTCAAAGGCTACTAACTATCATCTGTCTATTCTTAAGTATGAGTATTCACGTGAATCCCAGTTCCAACTGCAGAAAAAGAATTGATTGTTGCAGTAAAAGTTGCAGCTGTGGGTCACTGTGGAGTAAATTTCTAAGGTTGGTTAGGGTTAGAGTTATGCTGGGTTGATTAATATATTAAAGAAGCATTTTTTACTATGTGGAGAACTGGAACACTGCTGCTCAGATACATCTGGGTCATTCCATTCAGACAGGAGAAAACACACTATAAGACCGGATGTTGAGGGCTAGAAACTAAACAGAATGCATCAATAACAGCTCAACAATAACCACACACCAAGACAGACGATGGGGACAAACCTCTACTTTATCTAACGGGGTTTAGGCTGTGTTGAAGAAAGAAAGGTGCTCATACCCAATACTTTCAATTTCTGAGATTTACAAACTCTGTTTTTGGCAGCCATTGTGTTTTATTTACATTTAAATTTTTCTTTCTTCTCCGGTTCTGTATTCTCTGCAACTAGTTGCATTTTAGCCATAAAAGGAATGGCTTGAGCATTTTGCAAAGTGTTACATTTGCCTCATAAAACAAACAAACAAACAAACAAGCTAAATGCCAATCAACTCGACAAGTAAACAAAAAGTAAAAAAGTCCTGACCCAGATAAAGCAACTAGCTCTCAAACCAGACATCCCAATTGAAAGATCAACATTTGCTTACACAGATAGCGGAGGCTTGTCTAGATTAGCACCCAACTGAAGATCCCAGCAGTGTTTGAGACCGCACATGCTGCACTGTCACGGGAAGCACTAATTAAAATGCGCCCAGTGTCTGTTGTTATGCAGGGATCATATGCTGGAGCACGCGTCTTCTGTGGATCTGCCGTAATGCCTGCTGCGACGCCTCCCTCTCTCCAACTACGGGCCGCTCTCTAATTACTTGCCATCTTTTCTTTTAGACACTGGTGGTGGTCTGTCCTGCTCAGCGGCGCAGACAAGTGTGGCAGAGCATGGCAATCAAGCGATCAGAGGAAACAACAGGAGGTCCAGGACCCAAATTGTTGGCACGCACCCTCTCCAGGTCCCAATAAGAAAATGCTGGCCCTCATAAAAGCGCTATAATCACATCTAACACGCAGCAGTCGAGGCTTTTATGTCCGGGTCGGTATCAAAGAGGAAACACACGGTGACATACATAAAACTGGATTTAATCAGATTTTATTGGCCTGTTGTTATTGTATGTCTCACTGCTGCTGGTAGATTTGTTTTTAAAAGACAACTGTGGGTGTTTTAGATGGGTCATATTTCAGCTTTAGGAAGCATTCACCAGTGGCCCTTATGATGCTGAAGAGCGCATGGCAAGTTTGACAAAAATAGAAGATTAAACCTTGCCGAAAAAAAGCACCATCTGCTGGAGACAGCAGCTCTGCAGGCTAACTGTCATGGGAGCATCCGAAACAGATAACATACTGCAGTTGGTCGGCATCAAGCGCAACGTCCCGCAGCCCGGAGCCAGCTTATTTGTACTTGCTGACCCATGGAGTTGTGAGCTGAATCTGCTGGGCTAATAATTGAAACAAAGAAAATAAAAGGAGTGTTTGCAATGTGGTGTTGCTGGCTATTGGAGCCTGGTGCTCAAACAAAGTAGAGTGGACAGAATGGACGGAGGCCAGGGCAGAGGAGACGGGGGCAGATGGCTTCATCATCAGGGACTCTTTGATGTCTGTTCATAGCTTCAAAGATAATGAATAAATTAGGAGAAAAGTAAGCATTACCAAATAAATAAGTATATATTTGTCTAATGCA